ATGAATGGAATGGAATGGAATGGAATGGATGGATGGATGGATAGATCCGGATGGAATGGAATGTTGTATATAACATCTAGTTACCTTACATATGAATGAATGGAATGGAATGGAATGGAATGGATGGATGGATGGATAGATCCGGATGGAATGGAATGTTGTATATAACATCTAGTTACCTTACATATGATCCGTTTCTTGTTATTCAACATTATGTAATGCATATTTATATATAATGCATATTTATATAATTTTGACAATGTTCTATATTGGACATGTAATCCCCATCATAAGAGGTAGATAATAATTGAAAATTTTGTATCAATGAATATGCTTTATAAATCATATGATCCGTTTCTTGTTATTCAACATTATGTAATGCATATTTATATAATTTTGACAATGTTCTATATTGGACATGTAATCCCCATCATAAGAGGTAGATAATAATTGAAAATATTGTATCAATGAATATACTTTATAAATGACAAGATGTTGGGGATATTGAGGTAATGTATGATATTGTCACTACAGGCACAGAGGATAGGGCTAGAGTGGATGGATGTTGAATCTTTGAAGAAAATGAACAAGAACAAGAAGCTTGTCAAGAAGCTCGCAAAGAAATATCATGCTTTTCTTGCATCAGAAGCTGTCATTAAGCAGATTCCTCGTCTTCTTGGACCTGGTCTTAACAAGGCAGGCAAGGAGCCTTTACCTTTTATCCTGGGATGATTTCTTTTCTTCCAAAGGCATTGTCTACTTCTGTTGTTTTTAGAAATTTGTTTCTATTATGGCACATTATCACCTCATAAATATTATTTGGTAGTTTTTTTAGATTTGCATAGTATTAGCTTTACGAGTTGTTCAGCAGCATTTCTTGTATATGTGATGAAACATGTTAAAAGTCATGCAAAATTTAATTGAACTCTTCATTTCAGTGAATGTGAATCTTTCAAAAAGTCCTTTTATCCTTCTAAATTCAGTTTTAGTTGCCAAAGACATGCACAGGTTAAAAATAAACATAAGTTAATAGAAATTATCTTTAATTGGAGAAAACTGTTAAGAATTAAGGTTACTCTATTAGTTCCTTTGGATTTCATAAAAGACATCAGGTAGGTTTTTAATCAGTAGGTTGCGTCACAACATTTTTTTTGTTCGTGAGTATCATATGATTACCATTTAGCATGATATTCTCATAGTACTTATGGATTGATAGTGTGTTTCTATGGGATTAATTTCTGTCTTATCAAGTTAAGCTCTACTTTGTTGACAATAAATCACGATAGAAGTTTGCTCTACCGTTGATACTTTTCTAGATGAGAAACGAACTATGGAGGTTACTGAAATGAATATAACTTGGTTCAAATTATTGATTTGCAGTAAAACGAGGTTAATATTTTTGATTCTAATATTTGAATGTGTAAATGATAAGAGACCTCTTTTCTGAATGTTCCAAAATTAAGTCATGCTTTTCCCCGCGTAATAGAAGTGGCTTCGGTATGGGTGGGGTGGACTTGGCCGGATTGGTAGGTGAAGTTTTGGTTGTGATCAGATGAATAAGTCTAATTGGATTGGGCGGTTGGATGATGCATTTGGTTTGGTGTATAACCTACATAAATCAAAGTACAAGTGGTTAGTTAGCTAACCTTATTTTTAGTTTATATTAGTTTGAAAAATCCTCAAATTATTGTGACGAATAGGAGTAGTAAGTAACTTTATGAGTTTTGGCTATGATTGGTTCCTATTTTTGACAGACTATGATTTTGTTTTTTTAATTAAGAAATCTGATTAACTTATGATTTTTACATATTCCTATTAAACATTTAGAGTCAGAATACCATTTTCAGGCATGTTTTATAACATATTCGTGATATAATGCACACGAGGAAATTGCTTTTCTAATCTTTGTCTGAATGTTCATCTGCAACTGTTTGTTCTTGCTCTAAATGTATCATTTGTCTTGCAGGAAAGTTTCCTACATTGGTGACCCATCAGGAATCCTTGGAGTCTAAAGTTAATGAAACCAAAGCAATGGTTAAGTTTCAGCTCAAGAAAGTTCTTTGCATGGGTGTTGCTGTTGGAAACCTTGGAATGGAGGAAAAGCAGATTTTTCAGAATGTGCAACTCAGTGTCAACTTCCTGGTGTCATTGTTGAAGAAGAATTGGCAAAATGTGAGTTCTCTCTCTCAATGATCATTCTTTTGCTGCTCAACTAGATGATTTTAACTTACAATGTTGTTTTGCATTAT